TTTCACGGCCGTGGTCAAGCATTCATTTTAACCACGGTCCAACCTAGCCCATTAGTTGCCTTTCATTAACACCACGGCCGGGGTCCTATAGTTCACGGTCGTGGTGAAGCAAAAAATTCGTGTTACTTTTCTACTAACCAAGGTCAAACTAACAATAACCACGGTCAAAACCACGGTCGAACCTGCCCATTAATTTCCTTTCGTGTTAATTCGTTTGCGACTTCACTTACATTCCAGATTGAGGCTAAAATAGTAATTTAATCCTTCAATATTCTATTCAAAATATTAAATTGGGTCAGTTGAGTTAAATTTTTTAATTGAGGTCAGTTGAACAAAGAATAAACTTTTTTAGGTTATCCATGCCAATTTCCCAAAACAAATGTTCCGTTGGCGSGGCCGTAAGATAAGGAAAACAGGGACACAGAAAAAGAGCGCCACGGAATTAAAATGTGCTAAATTACAAAGAGAAAAAAAAAACCCAAAAAAATCTTAAATAGAAACTGGCGAATATTGATATGGTATCAAATCTAAAAGTTCAAACATCCCATCCAAAAATAAAATTTGGCCAAAATTGATGGTCCCACAAAAGATATCATTTTGAAGAGGCATGTTAAGGATCCGTATCCAGCATCCAGTCCAATCATTTCAGTTGAGTAAACAATGGATATAGGAAGTAAAAAGATTTTAAAGGTCAAATTAAAACTTTAGGGCGTGTTTGGTAACGTTTTCGTTTCTTGTTTCTCGTTTTCAATTTTCTTAAGAAATCTAAGCATTTTATAACTAACTTGAACAATCAAGATAAATTTCTCCTTTTTTGTTCCTATTTCTAATTTGTTCCAAAATATAAATTTTATTATATTCGAATTCTTGGCGATTGAAACTATGAAATACATCCTTCTTAATAAAAATAAAGAAATAGGGAGAAGAAACAACCTACCAAGCTACTCCTCCGAAATATTAACAAATATTTGTTTTAAAAATATTTTTTTACCGCTTATCAAAAAGGCATACTCAGTACTAAAAAAAAAGGTCATATTCATAGTGACACTTTTTTTTTAAATAATTAATTTTAGCCATTAAAATGTGGCCATCTATTGCCCTCTTAGAATCTTGGTGTCTGTGTCGTATTTTAGCTTTTGCGTAGCATATCACCAAATGCCACTCGAAGCCAAACAAATATTTAATTGCCGTCTGAATCATGTGCATTTGACTATTACCAAAATTTGGTGCTTCACTGGTTAGAAATTGATAATATTTTCCAACTTTTTTTTTCTCTCACTTTAAAGAGAATTTATAAAATACATCAAAGAATTCAACATTCTAACAAACAAAAAGCTACAAAAAATTTCAATCCAACGAGGAGAAAGTGCTCAAGGATTTTGCTTGTAGCAAAATTACACCAACTTTCGATATGGATAATGTCGAATAAAGAAACATGAGTAGAACGTTATTTTCTATGTCACAAAAAATAGAGCCTATTTTAGTTGAATTGTGCACTTTATCTTACAAGAAATTGTTCGCCCATAAAACATTCATATAGATAATAACTCCTCCAAGTCAACATCAATAAGATTTATTAATTTTCAAGTTGGATACTTTTTCTTTTGAGGGTTATAAATTTGATTTATGGTATTAATAAAATTGTTTGGCCCGAACTTGGGGTTTATGTAACTCCAAGATTATTATGTTCTAACTTAATTAGGTTCTAAGTGTATGTGACCGAGTACCAAATCCATGTAAAATTCTATTTATGAGATCATGACTTTAATTGACTTGTTCCCGCTCGACCTTGTCCTGTTGACACACGAGGCACGTCTTCACATACTCAGCAACGTCGTCTCGCATGCCCGGCCAGATATAGATTCGACATAGGTATTCTCCTAACTTGATGAGTATGCCACAAATTGAGATGTTTTTGAGATTGAATAAAACATTTGAGAGCAATGTTTTGAGAGAATTAAGTGTTGCAAAAAAATAGTGAAAGAAAGTATGTTTTTACAGTAGTAAGAGATAAAACGTTACAAAACATTATAACTGTTTGCATTTTAATATTGGTTAGATCATATATATTTATTGTTATTGATAATTAATAATTAATATAATATTTATACTAAATTATGAATGATATAATTTGTAAATTAATAAATTAAGGGAGGGACAAAAATATCCAAAAATATTTTTTCGAGATCCCCTTTTAATATAGTATAGATTATCGATAAGACGTTCAAAATATGCATCGTAACCACAGATGAAAGGTTGAAAACTGCCTAAAATAAAAGGACAAACGGGTAACTTTTGAAGTGATCATTTGTCAAATGTGGTTAAGACCTGTACATCATATTTTGACTTGAATGTCTCATTCTCTCTCATCAATCTTCTTCTCTCTTTGTAAAAAGTCTCTCAATTCCGACCACAAAATTTGTCTAAAATTATAACCACAAAAATGAACAGAAATTTTGTAGAAAGCAGACAGAGATAAAACACAGTAGCCAGTAGCACTATAGCTGAAGGGTACGTGTCATAGTATGAAGTATCACGTCTTAAATTATAAGTTTAGTTTATAATTTTTCGGATTCTGTCTATTGAGTTCATAAAAGGTTTAAAATTGTGTCCATCTAGTTTCTAATAACGATGGGTTGTGTCTATCTAATTTATTGAGCTTTTAATTTGTGTTTGTGTCCCTATGTTTACTCCATTAGTTTAACACCAAAGCGAGCATATATAGTTTAGCGGTAATTGACATATACCTCTAATTAAAAGGTTGTGAATTCTAATCCTCTCCTCAATATGTTGTAAAAAAAAAAAACTCCATTAGTTTAACGATTATGTCTCTAAGTGCGTCTTTTTAGTCCAATAATGGTAGAGATAAGGCCAAACCAAGAATCTTTAAAATAGTAATAATTAAGTACTTTTGAATACTTGAAGGTATTTGAAATCAAAATATCATTTAATTTTTAAATAATACTATTAATGTATTAAAAAAAGAATTAAATTGATGGAACTAATAACAAAATTTTATTAGATACAAAATTGAAAGTTCATGAACCTATTGAAAATTTTTTAAATTATAGAGATAAAATAGAATTCAATTAGAATTAAACTTGTAATTTAACCAAATAAAAATAGTGGCATCAATCTTCTTCCAATAGGTTTTGAGAGAGGATTAGGCAGACTCTTGAATGAGATTAGGACATACAGTTTTTCTTTTTCTTTTTTTTTTTCTCTTCTCTTCCAATGTTTTATTTAAGTTTCTTTTAAGTATCAAGAAACGCAGATTCGAACTCGCAACCTCTTGATCGAAGATATAT